AAAACGATTTTAAGGTTTATTCTATTATTAATGGCATATTAAAATTCCCCTCTAGAACAAAAAATCATTTTGCTAGTTCTCTTTTAAGCCGTTGGTCCTGTGTGCATTATGGCCCATGTGTACGTGCCCAAAGAACGCAGTACACTCTTCGGAAATGAGTAGGGGATTGTCTCCCGGTGTACTGCCCAATCACCACCAGAAGGATGCCACTAGAAATAAGTCTTCTTCTAGACTTTCGTGGGCTATCTTTGGTGTTTACACCGAATAAATCCAATCCAATCCAATCAATTACAGTATATAGAACTGATATATTATCGCATCTCATACAACATTGTACACCATCTCAACAGTTTAGGATTAATGTTGAAAATGGCAAATATACACTTGGCAGTGATAATACTTCTGTGGCAATTTACTGCATAGTACTCCATTTTATGACAACTTAAAATGTAAATCTTACCAACAATTAGGGTTAGGTTTGTTTGCAAATTATGTAGCGATAGTGTGATGTTTTTGAAATGAGCATCCTTTATTTTAATTGAATTGAATATATAATAAAACATAATCAGTATGATTTGACTTAATATTATCTATTTTGTTCTTTGTTTTAGATGACAGGGTTGAGGATTGGTTGCTCATGAAGACACCCTGGCCTTCAGTTGGCTTCATAATAGCCTATCTCTTATTCGTATGGCTTGGGCCCAAGTTCATGAAGAATAAACAGCCATTTGATCTGAAATCTACAATATTGGTGTACAATGCTATGCTTGTGGTTTTATCTATTTATATGTTTAAAGAGGTAAGTCCAAAATAGAAATACATATATATCATTACAGAAATTACCATTGTTTTCTTTCAGGCACATATTTTTTTAAGATCTGTCCAGACTATCAAATTTTATTTGACAAAAACATGTGACATGACTAAATATGGTCATGATAATATCACATCATGGCCATATAGGGGCACACAACTTTTTTTTTGTCAAAGACAATTTGCTATATATAAGACATTATCAAAATGTCTTTAAGGTTTAGATATAATTGTCTAATAGATATTTTATATATTTTCATCTTCAGTTCCTTATTACATCCATTCTTGGTAACTACAGCTACAAGTGTCAGCCGGTGGATTATTCTACCTCTCCATTAGCGATGCGGGTAAGTGATGCGGCAGCAGATGTCCCACTCGCAATTACTGCAAAATGTCTAATTGAAACCCTGATTAATTATTATTCCTCTGTTTGGTTTTTAGGGTGATTTACAATAGGGGTGGGCATCAAAATGGGTTGGAGGGTTGAAACAAATTTTTTGAACACTGAGGGCCACATGCAAACTTTGCTCTTCCAGCGTGCTTGTAGAAACATTAATTAACATTAAGAGAGTTCTAGTATGCAAGGCCTTTAAAGTAATAATGATCACTTCTTTTCAACACAGGATTTCAAGGCAGTTGTCAACAATGCACAGTAAAAACACTGAAATTAAGTAAATTTGAACATCAAATAAGCAGCTTAGCTCAGTCGGCTAATTGGGTGGTAGCCACTGTGTGTGCGCTGAACTGTGGAGATCTCTAGGTCTCCGGTTCAATTCCCATCGCTGCCTCTCCTTGTGTTTCAGCTGGAGGGCTGAGATACAAGTTAAAATTGCACACCGTCTTTTGGACGAGACGTTTAAGCCGTTGGCCCTGTGTGCATTATGGCCCATGTGCACGTTAAAGAACACAGTACACTCTTCGTAAAAGAGATGGGGATTGTCTCCCGGTGTACTGCCTAATCACCACCAGAAGGACTGCACTAGAAATAAGTCTTCTAGACTTTCGTGGGCTATCCTTGTTGTTTACACCAAATAAATTCATTCAATCATTCAATCAATCAATTAATATTTATTGTAAAAACAACAAAGTAGAATTTTTTTTTTATGCTAGAAAGCAATCTTATAAATACTCTAATACTACTATACAATAATAGTAATGTAATTGCTTACGTTACAAGGGGTTTGCTTGTCAAAGGGGGGTTCGGGCAAACCCTCAGGAACCCCTGGCTACGGGCCTGCTCAGTTTTTGTAACATTTTACAGATGTAAGCGTCTGTAACAACAAGGGGTTTTTTAGCTAAAGGTGGTAAGCGGGCCAAACATTACAGTTTGTAATGTATGGAAAAAAAAAACGCTTTTTATCTGAAAAGATAATAAATAAATACTCATTACTAAGAAGAATAATTTTTTGTGGTCCTAGATGACAAGTGTTTGCTGGTGGTTTTTCTTCTCTAAAGTCATTGAATTATTGGATACAGTTTTCTTCATTCTACGCAAGAAGAATAATCAGGTCACATTCTTACATGTTTATCATCATAGCTCAATGATAGTTAACTGGTGGCTTGGTGTTAAATATGTTGCTGGGGGTCAAGGTAAGATCGAAGTAATATAAAATAAGACAAACTTTATTATTTGAGGATAATTATGTGTTGGTTTTTATATAGCACTCTACACAACTACTAAATCTCAGAGCCCTTTAAATATTATTTAAAATAAAGAATCAAATATTCAGCTTTTGAGATTAAAATTATCAATTGCAATTCCACAATCCTTTCAAACCTATCCGTAAACCTCTGTGGTCTGGTTCTATCTCCTTGCAAAATATTCCTCTTTCCCACCACCCAGCATACTGAACAACCTGAGAATTATGGAATTATAAAATTATTTCATTAATTGCCCTTCTAACTTCTAAAGCATTCAGTTTCTAAGGCAAAACATCCTGAAATTGATTTATGCAGACTCCCCATAAAAGTTTGTTATCATGCAAACCCAAAATGTGTGCATGATAAGCTGTTCAATTCTTTTATTTTCAATGACAATTATTTCTTCTCTAAACTGTTTTTTTTTTTTTTTTCTGGAAGTCAATTATCATATCTTTAGTGTTACTTTCAAACTTCAAATGAATTATCTTTACAGTACATATCAAACCTTTCAATTTAAAAATTATATTATTGTTACAAATTGTTCCTCTTAATTACACCTAATATCACTGTGTCATTTGCAAACTTAATAGTAGGATATTTAAATTCTGATCTAACTTTAGCAGTGTACCGTATACACAGTAGTAAACAAAAACGGCGCAAGAATAGTGCTTTGTGAGCGGCAACATTTAGTGTTACGTGTTACATACTGTATATTTCAATTAAGTGGATATCTCTGCCCTGTGCCTAATACTGAATAATACATGCAGGTCATTGAAAATACCTGCGTAGCTTAATTTTAGCAGTAAGTTTGCGTATTCGCACATAAGACAATTTTAAGTGATTTAAATTTATAAATTGTATGTTGCGCGTATGAGACAACCCCATGTTTTTCGATCGTAATTTGCTATAGCCTTGTCTTATATGCGAGTGATAGCTGTAATAAATAGTTTGTTCTCATAATACAGTATAATAGTGGCTGATAAGAGTGAGTATTTTACTTGGATTCATCTGTTTCAGCTTTCTTTCTGGCCATGCTCAACTCTTTTGTACACAGCATCATGTACTCCTATTATGCTTTGGCTGCAATAGGTCCTCATATGCAAAAGTATCTGTGGTGGAAACGGTACATGACACAACTACAGCTAGTATGTATTGCCTACTTTGTATCTATTTATTTATTGTGTATTAATACACAATAATCTCACTCTTCTAATGTATTACATAGAAAGCAAATCAAACTAAACAAAATTTACTTTTTTTTTTGGTGCAACATTATGGAAGTAGATCACTTCGAGAAATGTTTTTACTTTAAAATTTAAAACATCAATCAAAGTATTAAGAATAAAAGTCTTGTTTTGTTTATTTTATTATTAATTATTGAATTATATTGTTTATGGGTGGGGATGAATCTATGTAGTTAAGAAAGGAGGTAAAGTTTAATTACTGATTATGTGGTTCTTCTGCATTTATTCACTACATAAATTATGTATATATTTACATTTACAATTTTTAGAAATGTCTGTTTATGCAAAATTCATTGTGCTTACCTTTTTTTTTATGTCTTCACAATTTGTTCCCCCATCAACTTTTGTTCCCCCATCAACTTTCCTCCCCAACCACATTTCAATACTTCTAGATAGATATGTTACTGGATGTTGCGAGACAAAGTAACATATCCTGTAAAAATTTAATGACATAAATACAGAATCTTACTACAAAAAGCATGGGATCCAGATATTTGTCCCAGTAAGATTCTGTATATCAGTGAAAACATTAGAAATTGATACCAAACTGTTCCTTAATTAGATGTTTAAAGGCCTGTTCACACTATGGCAATTTTTCATATAGAAAATAAGAGAAGTTTTTACACCAGCACTATTTGATAACGATTTATCGTGTATACGATAAGAAATGATTTCACAAATCAAATCAAATATGATTTTGTCACATGATTATGATGTCATTTGATTTGATTTGGAAAATAATATATCGTGTATACGATAAAAAAATTGTTATCAAATCGTGCTAGATTTATTACTACGATTCTATCGCATGATTTATATGATGTCATTTGATTTGATTTGTGAAATTATTTTTTTCATCGTATACAAAATAAATTGTTATCGAATCGTGTGTGAAAACTTATTTCTTTTATTTCTATGTGTACAATTGCTTTTTAGCTTTTTATTGTTGATCGTTGTTGTCATAGTGTAAACAGGCCTTAAAAGTTTAAAAGTAAGTTTACTATTGTTTTCTTTCTTTCTTTACAGGTGCAGTTCTTTGCAATTTGTTTTCACACAGGGTACAACATGACAATAGACTGCAACTTTCCAATGGGCTTCAATATAGCTGTGTTTTTATATGTGCTGTCTATGGTGGCGCTATTTAGCAATTTCTACATCAGATCGTACAAGAAAAAAGATGTGAAAAATAAGGAATAGTATTTATTCGCATTTTTATTCACAATTATATAAGATTTGAAATTTAATTGTAATGATAAATTTTAAGGTAAAGGTTCTAGAACAGATAGGACAATTATTAATATTAATAATAATAAATAATTGATGACATCGGACATGGCGACGACGAAAACTTTAATAGTAATATAAGAATGAAAATAAAAAATATGAAAATATGTATTTGTCAATTTCTACCTTAATTCATTTACAAAAATGAGTATGAAATATGTAATAAATTTATTAATAATAATTATTATTTGTGGAACGATTATTACAGTCAGATATAAAATACGAAAAGATATGTTTTTATGAGTAGTTATTATTGCTTAAGAAATACATTTAGAGAAGTTTATGAATTGACTTAAAAAATGAATGATTTCAGGCTTGTAAATAATGTTATTCCTGTGTGTAACGTACATGTAGCCCTAGCTAAGTACATAGTCTCATGAACATCGATGTACCCCTTGTTAGAAGTAAACTAATCTTGACCAAGGCTGTTAGTACTAGTACATAAAGAGATATCTCTTAATCTCGAATAACTTTTTACCATAAATTACCCCTGCCCAGGCGCTTCTGAGCCTTGGTACAGTGGTTATTTTGAAAGGCACGTATAATAGATTATTGGGCCATTCAAGATGGTACCACTTTGACAATTGTTGCAATGTTAGTATTATTTATTTCGTGAAAATACAATAAGATGTGTTGAGAAAGTTTATTGAATCAAATCAACATGGTTTCTGTCAACTTGTGAACCCTACAGGCTGTCTCTTATACACAT